CCAGCCTTCTGGTGAGCAGTCAAGTGCCTTAGGCACTATGCCACCAGAGCTCCCACAACTAACTTTAGATAAATATAAAATGTCCTGAAGAAAAAGGGAATATACATCTTTCTTCAGCAAATAAAACATGTAATAAAAACAGCCTGTAGGTCCATTTGTTGGAGGGAAATAGGGAAAGGAAAGGGAGGCAGAGAAAGTGAAAAGGAGTGGAGGCAAGAGAGGAGACGACGGGGAGCGGGTGGGGAAATAGAGAGCACAGAACCTCTGCTTTCCTCCTCTCTCCCTGATACCACACCCCAGTGTCTGACTGACCATAGTTCAAGGACATCCAAGTCACATCCAAAGTCCAGATCATGTTCTTCAGAGCCAAACAGACTGATGTCCAGCCCCAGCCCCGTCACATGGGTTGGAACAGCCAAAGTTTTGATTAGCAGCCGAGCTCTTAGCCACTAAGCCACCAGGGCTCCTTATATAAAAAGGCATAATAACATGTACCCAGTGCATCAGGTTGTTAGATTTAGAAACTTAACTATATTAGGATTAAGTGAGATCGTGAATGTCAAGAGCTTAGGCAGATGCTAGGCACAGGGGGATCCTTCGATAGAGTTGTTGGTAGATGCCGTCAAGTCACTTCTGACTCACAGCAACGCTACGTGCAACAGAACAAAACACTGCACAGTCCTGCACCATGCTCACAATCTTTGCTATGCTTGGGACCATTGTTGCACCCACTGCGTCAATCCATCTTGTTAAGGGTCTTCTATTTTACTGACCCTCTACCTTACCAAGCATAATATTCTTTTTCTAGGCTCTAGTCCCCCCTGATAACATGGCCAAAGTAGGAGAGACAAAATCAGGCCATTCTCTCTTCAAGGCAGCGTTCTGGCTGCACTTCTTCTAAGACAGATGTGTTCCTTCTTCTGGCAGTCCATGGTATACTCAGTATTCTTCTCCAACACCATAATTCTTATGCATCGATTCATCTTCAGTCTGTTGTCCAGCTTTCACATGCATATGAGGCTATTGAAAATGCCGTGGCTTGGGTCAGGTGCGCCTTCGTTTTCAAAGTGACATCTTTGCTTTTTAACACTTTAAAGTGGTCTTTTTAGCACATTCGTCCAACACAGTCAGTTGTTTTCTTGACCGCTGTTTCCTTGGGTATTGATTGTGGATCCAAGTAAAATGAAATCTTTGACAACTTCAATCTTTTCTTTATTTATCATGATGTTGCTTATTGGTCCAGTTGTGAGGATTTTTGTTTTCTTTATGTTGAGGTGTAATCCACACTGAAGACAGTTGTCATCACTGCTCTGTCAGTTTGTTGTATTGTGGTGACTTGTGTATACTGGAAGCTATGCTATTGGTAGTTCAAATGCCAGCAGGGCCACCCACAGTGGGCAGGTTTTTGAGGACCTTCCAAACTAAGACAGACTAGGTAGAAGGACTTGGTGGTCCACTTCTGAAAAAATATTGGTCACTGAAAACCTTCAGTGTTAGCTAATACTATTTTACCCGCAGTCAGGCTGGTCAGTCTCCTTCCTACTACTGATGGGGGCCGCTTGACAGCACGTTGGCCTCTCTGCAACAGGCCTCTGTACATCCTGTCACACCTCTGAAGCCCAGGCCTGCCAGGTACTTAGTGTAATAATTCTGCCAGTATCTTTTCTTGGAGGATGCTGACTCAGACTGAGTTGTGAATAAATGGAAAAGCGTTTTCATGATAAGGAGAGAGACCTATGTTTTAAACTAAAGTTCTGAGATTTAAAAAATTCTTTCAATATCAATTATGTCCATGTGAATACTAACTGTCTGTGTTTGAAAGATAAAGACCAAACAAAACACAAACTCACTAAGTGTCTGAAATGAAACAGTATCAACAGTATTTAAGTTCACTGTGTATTCTCTCCGGTCCTATGTCGTCCTTTTGCCATGTTACCACCATCTTCAGTTATGTGTTTATCATACTCTTTCATTTCTTTATAGTTTTATAACATGTATACGGAATCATTATATTACTTAGTTTTGGGTGTTTTTGAATTTTATATAAAAGGAATAACAAAGGTACTATTCTATAGCTTTCTTTTTTCTCACTTTTGTTTCTGAAATTCATCCATGCTGTTGCAGTAGCTGTAGTTTATTCTCATTGCATATAATATTCCACTGTAGGAATATGCCACAATTTACTTATACATTCTTCTGTTTTCAACATTTGGGTTATTTCTTCTATATGTATCTTTTTGCACAGTAAGGGAGTTTATATATGTTGTATATTTATATATAAATAAAAACATATTTCTTCTATATGTATCTTTTTGCACAGTAAGGGAGTTTATATATGTTGTATATTTATATATAAATAAAAACATATTTCTTCTATATGTATCTTTTTGCACAGTAAGGGAGTTTATATATGTTGTATATTTATATGTAAACTCCTTTACTGTTCACAAAGATACATAGAGAAGAAATAACCCAAATGTTGAAAACAGAAGACTGTATAAGTGAATTATGGCATATTCCTACAGTGGAATATTATATGCAATGAGAATAAACTACAGCTACTGCAACAGCATGGATGAATTTCAGAAACAAAAGTGAAAAAAAAAGAAAGCTATAGAATAGTACCTTTGTTATTCCTTTTATATAAAATTCAAAAACACACAAAACTAAGTAATATAATGAAACTGCTAAGCCATGGAGTATGTGCATCTTCAATCATCTGTTGTCATTATTGTTAGGTGCTTGGAGTCTGTCTCAACTCAGTGACCCCATGTGACAGAGTAGGACTGACCCATAGGGTTTCTAGGCTGTAAGCTTCATGGGAGCAGGTCACCAGGTCTTTCTGCCACAGAGCCACTGGCTGGGTTCCAACCACTAACCTTTCTGTTAGTAGCTGAGCTCTTAACCACTGTGCTACATCTTCAGAATGTCAAAATGTTTCCCAGATGATTGTACCAATTTACACTTCTTCCTGCAATGTAGGTTGCTACCAATGCTTGATACTTTCAGGCTTTTAAATTTTTGTGAGTCTTCCAAGCCATTATGGTATTTTGCTATGGTTTTAGTTTGCATTCCCCTGATTATCAATGAATAACTATTCATTCCTATGTGTCTTCTTCTGTAAAGGGCCTGTTAAAGTCTTTTGTTCACTTTGTTGTTCGGTTATTTGTCTTTTTCTTTTTGATTTATGGAGTCGCAATTTCTGAGGGGGGCGGGATGCTATAGGATATAAACAATCAAGTCTTAGATTTTCCAGTACGTCTCCTGTTTGAAGTTTGCTCCTCTTTCTGTATAAACACTAAAATGTTTTAGAAAATATAATTTTCCAACATTCCAACCACATTTCCAAGACTTTTGAGCAGATACAAAATATCTTTACTAGGACACATGCTCTGCTTTTCCTTTGGAAAATATAATTACCGTAAGTACATACTCAATTGCTCTGACACCTTGGATCAGAAATCTCCCATCTCCTGTCTCAGTGACATCAAAATGATGGTTTAGTAAGTTACTGCTCTGGGTGAAAGGTGGGTGAACATTACTTTCTATGCCTTCATTCCTTCATAATAAAACGCTTCTCAGAGCCTTCCTTGTGTAGGTTCTTATACTCCTTTACAAGCTCCCAGCTTTTTCTCCTCCTCAGCCTTCCAGAACCTGCATTCCAATTCAGTCAGTGTGACACTGGAGTCCATGCTTTAACTGTTACTGCCTTGAATTGTAGTTATTCAACTAGTCAATAACATGTGAAGGCCCCACTATGTGCTTGGCACTCTTTCTAAAAGGTTAAAAAAAAAAAAAGGTTAAATTGGCTAACTGGCCTCCCTGCTTGTATATTCCAATACATTCTTCACGTGGTGCCCAGAGTGATCATTTGACAAATCTAAATCAGGTCTCATCACACTCCTGCTTAAATAGATGTCAGCGGCTTTCCATTGTACCCTGGAATCAATATCAACATACAGCTCTGGGGCGTGCCCACAAAGGCCTTACCTGATAGAGTCCTGCCTCCCTCTTTGGACCCAGCAGTGCTTTTTCCCTCTCAAATTGGCTTCTTTTCTGCGTCAGGAAAGCACCGCTTATTCTAAGGAGGCCTTGCTCTTGCCTGTCTCCTTCCCTTTGCCTGAAGTGCTTCTTCCTGCTCTTACCATGGCTGGCTTCTCCTGCTCATCCTTAAGTCTCTGCTTCCTTTTAGAAGATTTCTCTGCCCATTCTATCAGACATGGTGGCTGCCAGTAACTCTCTAGCACATCACCTTGTTTAGTTCATGTATTAAATGTATTACAATGTGTAATCATACTGGTGTCTAACTGTTGGTTTATTGTTAGTCTCTCCCCAGTAGATTGTCAGCCCCGGAAGGCAGGGCTCTTATCTATCTTACTAACCACAGGACCTAAAATAGGTTCTGGCCCAAGGTAGGTGCTCAATGAACACTTGATGAAGGACTGAGAGAAAGGACCACCTTAGCCTGAAGGTTTTCTGTGTAGTGCGGCAAACAGGTTATCACTAACCATAACACACTGGGATTGTTATATTTACTGCATGCTTTGCGATCACAGATGAGTGAGTAAAATAATTCTGTCTTGGGACTGGGGAGGGGATGGTGCCAGCATGGGATGGTGGAGGTGGGAGACATCAGAGTAAATCTCTCAGAAAAGGGGCTATTTTAGCTGCATTTCCAAGGAAAAGTAGGAGCTCTCCAGCCAGAAAAGGAGGTATTGGCTGTTCAGGCAAAGAGGACTCAGTGAATAGCGTTAGTGTGTGAAAGGGCATTCTACGCAAAGGTTACTAACCACATCAGCCATGTGAGAATGTTCACGGCATATGAGCCTTATCAAAAGAGCGTTACTTAGATCTAAGGACATCAGGTCAATTAAACAGCCAAGTGCCATAACCAGCACATGTTAGCAACACAAAGTGTATCCACTTTTAAAAGTAGGACTGTTTTTCCTTCCAGGTTCCTCGGGCTCCATCTTTCCGTCTCTCCTTGCACCCTTTTGCCATGTTAACAGCACCCAAAGCAGCAGAGTATGCCCACAAACAGAGTAAGCCTGTTGACTTCTCGTTGCAGAAAGAAATTTAAGTAAGATTAGGTGTTGGGCTCACAATGTCAGGTCCAAGTTGTTATGATAATTAAAGTTGTCTGGTTGAATTAAAAAGAATGAGGGGGTTTTATGACTTGATTCCTTCCCCTCCACCACCACACAATTACCAAAATCAAAGAAGTCTTCTATCTTAGATCTTTGATGATGGGAGCAAAGCACTCCAGAAGGGAAGGATCTAAAACTGTAGGTGGGCCCATTTTTCTAGAAAATGCTTTTTATATATGGATACAGTCACTACATGTGTCTATAGGTGTCAAGTTAAGAAGAGGAACAACAAATAAAATTGCCACCAGCAGCTCTGCAAAGGAAGCAAATGTCACGGAATGGAAATCATCAAGAAGTTTACCTTTGAACACACAGCCAAAGAACAAAGTATGTCTACAACACAGATTGAACCAAACTTTGTTAGCCATCTAAATTTGCATACATCACACTTTACACCTCTATACTTCATTGTGCATGCTCTAAGAACAAACTTACTCCCTTAAATAACCATAGCACCCTTATCAACCTTAGAAAATCTAACATTGATCATTTTATTTAATCTACCATCTGTATACCAATTTTGTTCATTGATCCAATAATGTCTTTTCTCTTTTTAAAGCATGTTTCCCTTTCTGTACAGGATCTACTATGGGATCATATATTGCATTTAGTTGAAATATAATGCTTCACTTCCAAATTTATTAAAACTAAAGCAGTTCCATGGAAATTCTTCTTTTCCCACATTTATTTTAATCCATCTTTGTCAGCAAGTTAGTATCTGATGTTTGACCTTAACCCTTTTGTGACCCATGGGACACATATCACCCACCAACATTTTGGGCCTCCCAGGTTTCTTGGAAGCTGCTATTCCAGTTGTAGTACATATTATTGCCTGTCAGGGACCTGTATACTGCATGGATCTGAAGAAATGGGCCTCACCCCACCAATCCTACCATCAGAGTCCACTTGGGACATATGTGTCCCACATAATGGTATCAAAATCTATATTCCCTCAAAAAATATTTTTCCTTGATTTCAGCATGCTTTCCATTGCTGCAAACACATGGCATCAACAAAAAATCCAAAGTAGAAAATAATTCAGTCATGAAAGGGTTAACTCACTACAGATTGAAAGCCCAATAATGTCTATGTTCCATGTTAAATTGATGTGCTCGATACTAAAATCATCTTTTCATTCCACAGATCACTTCGCCTGGGACTTCATAATAAAATCTCCGGGAGAGAAAAAGAAACATCACCTTAAAATGGCAATTCCTGCCAGAACATTTCTTTTTGATGCAAACAGCATTGGAGTGTGACTTTGGGTTTTGATATTTCTTCTTTTGGAAGCATATTGCACTGCTACCTTTGATAATAACTGTGTGTATCTTATGCTACTTGCTTGTGAGCGGAAGACAGTTGAGGAACGCAGCTGATAAATAGTTTTCTAAGAAATCTGAGCTGGCTGGCTTCAGAGGACCTTTTTCAGATAGTTAGCATTGAATATTGCAGAGAGGGAGAGGAGTAGGGGGCCGTTTTCCAAAGTTTCAATCCAAGATAAAGTCAAGCTGTCACTTAGGGTCTTTACTATGTTCTCATAGCAGAAACATTTATTTAAAATCATTTCAATAAAGCATTGAAAGAAAAATGGTTACGAGCTTTCTTTCAGTAGAATATAATGACTACTAACCCAAAGAGCTCTGGTGGCATAGTGCCTAAGGCATTTGACTGCTAACCAGAAGGCTAATGGTTCAAATCCACCAGCCACTCTGCAGAAACAAGAGTGGACAATCTACTTCTGTAAAGATTTATTGCCTCAGAAACCTAAAGGAGGTTGCCATGTGTTGGAATTGACTCAATGGCAGTGAGTTAGTTAGTTTTTTTTTTTTTTTAACCAAAAAAAATCAATCTCACTGCCATTGAGTCAATTCCAACTTGTACAGACCCCCACTGGGTTTCCAAGGCTATAAATTTTTACAGAAATAGATTGCCCTCTCTTCCCTCTGTGAAGCAGCTGGTGGGTTTGAACCACCAACTTTCTGGTTAACAGCCAAATGCCTTATCCATTATACCACCAGAGCTCCTACTCTTGAAACCAAACTCACTGCCCTCGAGTCAGATCCAATTTATAGCGACTATCCTTGGGTTTCTGAGGCAGTAGCACTACGGAAGTAGATTACCCAGCTTTCCTTCTGAGGAGTGACAGGTGGGTTTGAACTGCCAGCCTTCTGGTTAGCAGTCAAATGCTTTAGGCACTACACCACCAGAACTCCTAGAGCTCTACTAGGGAGAAAAAACAAAAAAATGCTCTAGTCTTTCAGTACCTTTTCAAAACGCCTATGAGGTATGTGATTTAGCCTGTAAATGTGTGTAGTAGCAATTTGATCAAAGGAACGTGAGTACACATTATACTTTTCTTAAGGTTTAAGTGGAGTGTCTTCTTTCTACAGGACAGTTTCATTAGCAAAAACACACGTGACTTGTTGACTTCTGCTGAAAATAGTGACATATTCAGAAGGGTATTGTGACTGGGGAGACCACAGTGACCTTTTCTGCACTGGGTTTGATCAGGATTGTAACTGAGTAGACCTACCGTGTTAGGAGGGAGGCAGAGGTGTGTAATAGTAATTAACCTGTGGTCCCTGGAAGTCCTGCCAGGTGTCTAGCTTCATAGGACTTTGCCCAGTTTTCTCTGCACAGGCTGTCTAGTTCTGCTAATTATAAGGGAATGTTTTTTCTTTGTGGCTATTGCTGTTTATCCTTTCCATATCTGCTTTGCATGCTGACTGAGGGTGTCCACAAACAGCATTGTGAACATATTGCTAGCTGTGAAGCAGGAAGGTGTTTGATTTTATCTTTCTGCATGCACACAGGGTATAGATGATCTAGAGACTGACATTATCCCCTACCACTGCATATCTGAGGAGTGCTTCTAAATCAGAGTTGTCCCTGGTAGCTAAACAGTTAATGACCTCGGCTGGTGACAGAAGGGTTGGAGGTTCAAGTCTACCCAGAGGCACCTCAGAAGAAAGGCCTGGTGATCTGCTTCCAAAAGCCAGCCATGGAAAACACTATGGAGCCCAGTTCTACTGACACACGTAGGGTTGCCATGAGTTGGAGTTGACTCAGTAAGAACTGTTTGCTTTAAAGCAATAGGCTGGCAGCACCGAAGAAAGCTCTTCAGGCAGTCACCTGGGTTCTATGAAACAGTAATGCAGCTGGGAAGGCAGGTAAGCAAATAACGATGCCAATTTTAAAAACAAAAAGCAGCCCTAGAAGACAATTGGGGGTGGGATAGAGATCCTGTGTATTTTCCTGCTCTGTGAGTGTCCACAGTGTCTTGGGAGAATGCTTTACTTTTCAGGTAAAGGAGAAGGGTTTAGTCTCAAGACAAACTACCCATTTCCAAAATTTGCTGCTTTTCACCATTTAAAATGTCTGCATTTACATTTAAATGTTGCTTTTATTATTTTCCTTCCAAGTCATGAAAGTAATTTATATTTATAATAGAAAATTCAGGAATAAATAGCAGGAATAAAAATATAAAATTAGGACCTATCGTCTTGTCATTGATTGATGACTACTACTGACATTCTGTTGTATACAGTGTTCTGATCTTTTCTTTCTTACATAAACATATGCAGAATATTTTTTATCCAAACCATACCATGCTGATGAAAGAATTTGGGAAACATAATTGTCTTTCTCATTGGGAAGATTTTTTGTTTGGAACTTTTGTTGCCCCTTAGCACAGGTCCTTCTGGAATTCATACAGTTCTCACGAGTCACCCCAGATGGAGCCAACAACCTCCATCTCAGCAGTTTCCATCATTACAAAATGCTGGTCATGGAATGTATTTCTAGAGAGCTGCATAGGATGAGAAGTGCGCCCTTTGTCTCCAAGGTCATAATGGCTCTGCTGACTTCAATTTCTTTCACTAGAGCTGGTGAGGACAACTCGAAAATTCCAGAGAGAATGAGAGCCCCCTGCCCCGTGACCCCAAAATGAAAAAAAAGAAAACATAGAAATCCCCTTACGCACTACTCCCAGGCCCCTTTTGTGTTGGTCTTGCCAACGCAGCAGTCATCCTGCTATATATACCAGCTGCCTCTCTTGTCCCTATCAACTGGACTCTGAATATTCACTGTCAACAACCATGGGGAAGGTGAGCTAATGAAGGTGCCAGACTGTATCTATTGAGTCTACTGAATGTGGTAATGTAACTTCTTGCTGACTGCTTGCTACCACCTTGTTTTCCACTGTAGATCACCTTCTACGAGGACCGGGGCTTCCAGGGTCGCTGCTATGAGTGCAGCACTGACTGCCCCAACCTGCAGACCTACTTCAGCCGCTGTAACTCCATCCGGGTGGACAGCGGTTGCTGGATGCTCTATGAGCGTCCCAACTACCAGGGGTACCAGTACTTCCTGCGCCGTGGCGAGTACCCTGACTACCAGCAGTGGATGGGCTTCAACGACTCAATTCGCTCCTGCCATCTCATCCCCCATGTGAGTGTGGCTTTGTCTTTGGTCCTTTGGGAAATTAAAGCCGTTTAAAAATGCCATTCTTAAACCAGTAGTTCCAATTAGATAGCAACAGAAAGTGGAAGAGATGTTAGTGCATGCACGCCAGTCTAGCAGGTGCCTTAGGTGTGGAGTTTTTTTTCATGAATCTGTGGTGTTATCTTTTAACTACATGCTTCCCAACTTTGTATTTTAAATGTAATAATAATAATAATTAAAAGACCAAAAGACTAATAATGAAAAAGCAATTCATGAGAGAGACTGAAATCACCACCTGTTCAAGAAATAATTTCCATGGAGAGTTGTGATGGATACACAACACAGTGAATGTAATTAATGTCACTGTGCATATACATGGTTGAAATGACATATATATATATATATATGGAGAGAGAGAGAGAGAGAGAGAGAGAGAGAGAGAGAGATGTATGTATGTATATAAACACAAGGGAAAAAAAAAAAAAAAGAAGTAATTTCCCTAAGTGGTCGTTCCAGGCAATTTCAACCTAGAAATCCAACATATCAAGATTTATAAATATAATCTGGGACTGTTTGATTGATTAAAAGTACTTTTTCTTATTTTCCTATTTGATTATTCTTTCTGGAGACTATAGGCCTCTATATGGTTTCTTGTTATACTTGAGTGGTCTAGTTTACTTTGAGGTATAAACTAGATGAAAGACTGTCTTATTATCAAGTGCTGCTATAACAGAAATACTACAAATAGGTGGGTTTAACCAACAGAAATTTATTTCCTCACTGTTAGGAAGCTAACAGCCCAGATTCCGGACACTGGCTCTGGGAGAAGGCTTCACTGCCTGCCAGGAAACGTCCTTGTCTCTTTTTTGTTTCTGCTCCTTGGCTCCTGGTGATCTTTATGTGGCCTGGCATCTATCTTCCCCCATCTCTGCGGCTTGCCTGGTTACTTGCTCAGTCTGCTCTCTTCATATCGCAAAACAGAGTCACTTAAGACATGCTCTACACTAATACTTCCTCATTAACATAAAAGAAAAACCCATTCCCAAGTGGGATTATAACCACAAGTATAGACCAGAAAAAAAAAAAACAAAAAAACCCTGCTGTTGTGAAGTTGATTCTGACTTATAGTGACCCAATAGGACAGAATAGAACTGCCTCCATTGGTTTTCCAAGGCTGTAATCTTTACAGAAGCAGACTGCCTCATCTTTCTCCCACGGAGCAGCTGATGGGTTCAAAGCACTGACCTTTTGGTTAGCAGCTAAGTGTTTGAACCACTGAGGCACCAGATCTGCAATATATTTTGGGGGGATATAATTCAATCCATAACAAAGGCTATGATCAACAATTGCACTTTGAGGGTCAATATTTTCTGGGAAGTGATTGTAGAGTTTTTAGAAGAGTGGGATGTGGGAGACATGTGTCATCAAAATATAATTTAATGAAGATAATTCTTGCTGCTGAGAACATTAATAAATTGAGGGTAGGAGGCCAGAAAGAATCAGCTTGAAATGGGAACTGAAACTGACATGATGAAAACAGAGATAAAGAAAGGGTACCACCTTATTTTTATAAGAGCTTTAATAAACTTAAACATTTCCCATGTTGTTGTTAGGTGCCGTTGAGTCATTTCCAACTCCCAGCAACCCTATGTACAACAGAAAGAAACACTGCCCAGTCCTACCCCATCCTCACAATCTTTGCGATACCTGAGCCCATTGTTGCAGCCACTGTATCAATCCATCATGTTAAGGGCCTTACCCTTCTTCACTGACCCTCCATTTTACCAAGCATAAGATCCTTCTCCAGGGACCAGTCCCTTCTGACAACATAACCAAAGAACATGAGACAAAATCTGGCCATTCTTGCTTCTAAGGAGCATTCCAGCTGTACTTCTTCCAAGACAGATTTGTTCATTCTTTTGGCAGTCCATGGTATTTTCAATATTCTTTGCCAATGCCATGATTCAAATGAATCAATTATTCTTTGGTCTTCATTATTCATTGTCCTGCTTTCATATGCATATGAGATGACTGAAAATACCATGACTTGGTTCAGGAACACCTTAGTCCTCAAGATAACACTTTAAAGAGGTCTTTTGCAGTTAGACTATATGAAGAATGCAACATCAGGATTCAAGGAAAACTCATTAACCATCTGTGATATGCAGATACAACCTTGCTTGCTGAAAGGGAAAAGAATTTGAAGAACATACTGATGAAGATCAAAGACTACAGCTTTCAGTATGGATTACATCTTATCATAAAGAAAACAAAAATACTCAAAATGGGACCAATAATCAACATCGTGATAAATAGAAAAAATATTGAAGTTGTCAAAGATCTCATTTTTACTTGGATCTATAATCACTGTTCCTTGGAGGCAGCATGTCCATGAAAATCTTCCAACTAGTCTTATAGAAAATAACTAAATGTTGATTCCTTTTAAAAAATATCTATACTTTAATTTTTTTTTATTACAGCAAAGTATACACCAATTCAAAAGTTTCTACATGTACGATTTAGTGACATTGATTGCATTCTTAGAGTTGTGTAACCATTCTTACCTTCCTTTTCTGAGTTGCTCCTCCCCCATTAACATAAATTCATTGCCCCCCTAAGGTTCCTATCTAATCTTTCAAGTTGCTGTTGTCAATTTAATCCCATATAGATAGTTCTTAAAAGAGCATAATAGTCAAACCAAAAGAAAACCAAACTCACTGCCATCGAGTTGATCCCGACTCATAGAGACCCCTCCTTGGGTTTCCTAGGCGGTATCTCTATGGAAATAGATTGCCCAACCTTCCTTCCAAGGAGTGACTGGTGGCTTTGAACCACCAGCCTTCTGGTTAGTAGTCAAGTGCCTTAGACACTACGCCACCAGAGCTCCTATAATAGTCAAGGCAGGCATTTTTTACTAGTTAAGCTAAACAATCATTTGGTTCCAAAGACTTCAAGAGATATTTTTGGTTTAAGGTTTAAAGATTATCTCTGTAACAAAAGTAATATAGCAGATGATAGTTTTCCAATGACTCCCACTTTTTTTCTTTGAAAAACATTTTCTCTAATAACAAATGCTAAAGTGATGTGATAAATTTTATTTAAGCCAATCTTAATTCACAAGGACGAGAGATTGGTGGTTAGAAGCTGAAGGACTACTGAGGTCTGTTCTTAGGTTTGCTGTGAATCATTAGACTCACTAGATGTGGGCAATCGGGTGGAGAGGTTCCTCAACTCTACAAAATGGTTATTTTGGAAACAAACCTAGATTTAAGAGAACTTCTGGGCAAGAGTGGGCAGGGAGGTGCCAGTGCTGGAACTTTAATCTCTCTCTATTTTTGTTTATTAACTTCCTCTTTTCTATCTGCCACCTCAGTACTCCGGCCCTTACAGAATGAAGATATATGAGAGAGATGACTTCAGAGGACAAATGTCCGAGATCACAGATGACTGTCCCTCTCTTCAGGACCGCTTCCACCTCAATGAAATCCACTCCCTCAACGTACTGGAGGGCTGCTGGGTCCTCTACGAGTTGCCCAACTACCGGGGGCGGCAGTACCTGCTGAGGCCGGGAGAGTACAGGAGATATCTTGACTGGGGGGCTATGAACGCGAAAGTTGGTTCTTTAAGACGAGTCATGGATATTTACTGAAATAATTACATCCTCCCTTTTTCTCCTTAAGAATCTAATAAAATATTTAGCTTGTGTTTCTGGCACTAATAGAGTCTTGTCTTTCTTTCAATCTATTAAGCATTCAAAAGCAATGATGGCATTTGGTCAAACATAACAGCACATACTTTCAAGATGAAAAACAACTTCTTATGAAGAATAATGTTTCTAGCATTCTTTTAATGACTAAACTACGCAGGCGCAAAGAAAAGTTCCATTCAGTTGGGCTAAATTCGGCTGTGATTAACCCTTTATGGACATATTTGTAGTTACAATGATGAATTAGTACTTACTGAAGCACCTCAGATTGTCCCTCCAGGTTCTCACCATCAGATATCTTCCCTGTATAGTCCAAGTCTTAGTTGATAAGGAAAGTCATTCTTAGCACTTGGACTTTTACTTTATCTCCATAAACAAACAAACAAATTGATACAATATCATCTATTGCACTCAGTATCCTTCTAAAAGCCACCACCCTTTTCCTCCCATTTCTATCACCCCATACCTCCATGAGATTTTCAATCCAAATATAATTCTCTGTCTCTTTGCTGTAATGTGCTTTGAAGAAGAATTTCAGGATATTCACCAAAACTATCCGCAAGTGGGGAAACTCAGCCTTGTATCATTTTAATAGAAAGCAAGGTATTATCACTATATGCAGAGAATATACCCACTGCCATTGAGTCAACTCCAACTCATAGTAACCCTACAGGACAAGGTAGAACTGCCCCCATAAGGTTTCCAAAAATGTAAATCTTTGCAGAAGTAGACTGCCTCATCTTTCTCCCACAGAGTGGCTGATGGGTTCAAACTACTGACCTTTTTAGGTGAGCAGGCTAATGCTTTAACCACTGCACCATCAGGCACCTTGAGAATATACTAAGTGGAAAATAAAGAATGGAAGCTTTCCGGAGAATTCTGATTGTATGTTGGTCTTATTTATTTTTGAAAACTGATTAAAGTAGCTAATGGAAAAAAAAAAAAAAAAGTGAGTGGTCAGAGGAAAAACAAGAGTAGGACAGATGAGATAAAGCCAGGAATAAAGCTTGACACAGAGCATAGCCCTGCATCTGCCTGAATTTAGACTTCTAGCCTCCAGAACTGTGAGAAAATAAATTTCTGTTCTTTAAACAATCTACTTTGTGGTATTTTGATATGACAGCACTAGGAATCTAAGACCCT